GTTTTTGAAAAAATGTAAACGACGTTGTTATACTTATTCTAACATATGTATATGATTTACGTAATTATATTTACAACAAATAAAATTAATAAATTAATAAAATTTTCTTTTTAAATTCATCTTATACATCTTTTTTACAATTTACAGGAAAAAAGCTATCTATTTATTGCTTATATCTTTTTCTTTAAATTTATTTCCATTCATCACTTTTTTGTATCAGAAGGTATATCAGGGATAGTGAAAGTAACGTGATTCCGATGACATAAACTAGAACACATTTTTTACACGCTGCGATTAAATGACATGATGGATTTAGTATTTTGTTATTGATCTAGTTAAACAATATATTAAATTGTTTTTAAAAAAATAACATAGAAAATTTTTTTTGAAACGTTTTATTTATTAAACGTAATATTCATGTTTCGTTACAGAGAAAATAAAAATTCGAGGATAGATGAAATATTTAAGTCGTCATGTTATTGATTTTTCCATCTTTGTTGGCTTTTCAAAAAATAAATACTAAATATACGTAATTTCTAATACTTATTCTTATCTATAGCAGGGTAATTACATTCATGTCTCTGACTTCGATTCACAAAGATATCTGCATAGGTGAGAGAGCACCAACATTATGAAAGATAGTATACCGATAGATATTCATATATACGTACGTACATACATCTGTACATATGTGTGCATGCGCACGTGCATGTATCAGGTGGCAACTGTCTGTTCAGGAACAATGCTGTGGAGGGCAAAGGCTGGGGGAACGGCGAAGTATAGTGTGGAGGCTGTAGCAAGAGGTGACGGTTGAGAGGAAGAAACATGGGATGTATATGTAATCCTTATTTTACACGTGTGCAACAAGCATACGAATGTGTTAGTTTCACCTTACTTCAGGTGTGTCAGGGAAGAGCAGGGAATGATGTTACCCGGAAAAAAAGAAGATACAAAAGAAGACGCGTGATGTCAACATGACTGTGAAATCGCAGGTGTCATTCGGGATTTTCCAGATCTGCAGTAGCATTGCATTTAAATGCCATCGCGTGGAATTGACATAGTCTAGGGAGCCTTCTTATCTATCGGTTGACATTGACACGTGCAATGCGTTTTGTGATTCAAAAATGGAAGCGAGTGCCGAATATTTACCATATCTATCAAACAAATATATTTTAATAAATAAACTTCTCAAATATATAAAATTATGTCTTTCTGTAATGTAATTTTTTTAAACATATCAGTTATGATAATTCTAGTTTATTCTAATTATAAAGAATAATTTAATGTTTAGATTAAAGTATACGAAGAAAACTTGTAAGAATTATAAGAGCTAAATTCTTAATTTTATTTTAAATGAAAATATTTTTTAATATATATTTTCTTACTGATTTTAAATGCTATAATTCAAGATTTTGGTAACTGAGATACCAATGGTAGAAAAGATATTAAGGATTAAGAAAATATATAATAGATGGCTAAAAAATGAAAAAGAGTAAAATGAATTAACAAACATGAATGTGATTAAAATAATTTTATAGTTATTAGCGAGATAGCAACATTGAATGACATATATCCTTCTCATATATTTTCTTCTTTGAGAAAATATATATATATTTTTCTTTCCGCCCTTTTAAAAGATATTTCTCTTTTTTAAAAGGAAATATTAGCCTATATAGTATATCTATTTTAATGCTCTCACTATTCTATATCCTTCACATATTTACTTATTACAGATATTATTTTTAGCAACAATCGAAAAAAAAAACGAACAACTACCAATAGATTACTTCAGCTGCAGAAGATGAAATTAGATGCAGTAGACACTATTAATTATTTGTATCAGAATTGCACTATACGAAAATAGGAAAAACAAATATATTTACGAGTTTTATTTATTATTTCACTCGCAACTTGCATTCTCATCTTTTAGCTACGCTACTGGGCTTCTTCGCACACAATCGAATCATTCTTGTTCGTATGCAACATATACCAAGTACATTTCCACAATGTATACAATAAGAGCAAGTGAGAGAGAGAGAGAGAGAGAGAGAGAGAGAGAGAGTGTGTGTGTGTGTGAGAGAGAGAGAGAGAGAGAGAGAGAGAGAGCCAGAAGGGAAAAGCAAACTCACTTGGTGGGAGTCGAGGCAGCGGATGCAGTAGTGATGGCGGCTGCGTTGGATAACCAGCCGGAGCAGGCCAGGTCGGAAGAGCAAGGGAGACAGATAAGGATAGAAGAGAGAGCCAGAATAGGAATGGAAAGACAGCCAGGTTGCCCGGTGGGGTGGCGGCGGTGAGAGGCGAAGCCGAAGAGCGGCTTAGCCTGGCGCTGCCTCGATCGTAGCCACGAGTGGAGTGTTGAGAGAGCAACCGAGGTCCCGTTGGCCCTGGTGGTCGGCCCGCACCGGGTGAGGCGTCATGAAAGCGCGCCAGTCGACCGTGCGCACCTACAGCCGTACGAGAACACGTTGAACGCTTCGTTTGCTGCCCATTTCTCGGCCTTTCCTCGCTGTCGCGCCTCCGTCCGTTTTCGGAGCACGACACATTGACACGACAATCGGCGCGTTGGCGGATCTCCTAGGACATTCCCCGGGCATTGGGATCATAAGATGACAGAGACAGCAGACAGACATTCCGCTGGATTAACGACTCCGCAAATGAACGAAATCGCGCATTTAAGGGATGTTATTCTTTTTGAAGAATCGTGATTGGAACGGATGAAGGAGCGCGGTCAGTGGCCTGATTTTTATTGACATCCTGGGGCGGTGATCTCGAATAAGGAAGACTCTCGTGTGCTTTTAAATAGAAAGTTGGTGTTGTTTTATGGTGTTTATTTTGAAATCCAGATTTCGTCTCTTTTATGATGATGCGTATGTAACTTCTTCTCCGGTGATTTAATGAAGGTCTAAGGGAGCGGCAAAGACAATGGCCTTAGAGTAATACTCAGGTGTGTGCTTCTTTGTTAACCAAGACAAGCGTTTGTATTTTTTACTCGGAATCTTTTGTTTCTCTTTTCATCCTAATGGATGATTCAGGGATAGCTTCGTATTGCTACCTGTGACGTTTCGCGCGCGGTGGTTCTTCTCACGCGCGATATCTTGCACGTGAACTGCGATAGAGTAATAAATGGAAATCTCGGTAAGTCTTTGGACGCATGAAACAGCAGAACGGTTTAATCTATTCATAATCCAGCCATATTTTATATAAAGTTTCCGTATCGTGTTCCATCATTGAACTTGTATTTCATCAGCGACATCGGATGAAGCGAGGACA